TCGACGTTGTGGTCGGAGTAACCTATCGGCTGCTCACATGGGTTCTCAGGTATAACGCGTTCGTCTGTCCGACGCGTTTTCCTCTGAGTAAACATTGCCTTGTTGGCATTTACAGGAGTCACACGTTTGGAATCACACCTTTGTGAGGGTAAAACTTTAACGGGTTCCTGATTTTCTGCACGCATCGCCAAGCGGGCCGTTGCAGCCATCAATTTGCTAGGAGGTCGTGTACGACCCCCAGTCCGGATGTTGGCTCGAAGCTCCTTCAACGATCTGGGGCTTTCCTTAACAAGCGCTTTTCCTCGATTCTCGGGCAGAGTACCGATACGATTGTTCAAAGGATTCCTAAACTTGAGGAAATCTACGCTGCGGTAGGGCTTCGTCGGAGGTTCGGGATCTGAAGTTGACGAAGGCCGGAGAGCAACGTCGCCTGCTTTTGCCTTAGGCGTTGATTTGGCCTTTGGCACCCAAACTCGTTTGGATCTTAGTGATCTCTTAACTGCCTTTCCCCTTTGCATTTCTTGTGCTTTCCGCATAAGGGTCCGGGCATGCGCACGCAAGGCGCGGCGCTTCTGGATTCGCTCCTCGAGAGTAGAACGGGTTCTTTTGACACGAACCCATTTGTTCGTTTCTGCGTTGGAGGAGGGGCTGGTTGTTCGCCGTTGTTGCTCTTGGCGTTGTCTGGATTTTAGATCCACATTATAGCGGATCCCATCCATCGGCTCCAAAGCCTTGGCCAGCTGACGAGCGAGACGTTGACGCCGTCTTTGGCGTGCTCTCTTTGACAATGCTGGAGCATCTTCAATAGCCATCTCCTCGGCGGAGGAGAAGTCCGGATCTGCGGTCTCGACCACGTTGGACGACGCGGGGACGTCACGTGGTGCAAGTGCAGCGGCGGCAACAGGGTCTTGGATCTTTGAGCCGAAGGTCCTGCGAACATTTCTGGAAGAATTTACCTTTATGTGCCTGTTCGGAGAGGCGGATCTGGAGGAGGAGGAGGAGAGATCCTCTTCGAACTTTTGCTGATCGAACTCGTATTCGATCTCTTCATTCACCCGGATCTTGAATGCCGGTTGCGTCACGACGGCCTCGGCAGCGAGGCCGTTGGCTCCCACTGTGGTCGCCAGCTTGTTTGTGGGGAAAGTTGTTGTATTCATTGCTGTATTCATTACAACTTCAGTCGTTACAACGAAACAAAAAGATGGCCTTTTTATAAGACTCTTACACAATGAAAACAAAAAAAAAAGTACAACTCTCTTCAAACAAACGCAGAGATCGTTTATCGGTCTTCTGCTTGCGTGGGTCTTTTGCCTGTGACGGGGACGTCAGTATCCGTGGACCACCGGGGGCACTCAGATCTGGTCCGGATAAATCGGACAGAGTTTCGTTGATCCGCGTGAGATCTAGAAACTTTCTGATCCGGATAAATCGGACAGAGCTTCGCCTATCCGCGGAGGGATATAGAAGCTATAAGCGTATACCTCGGCTAAAGCGAGATAATAGCTCTTCTTAGTACTCTCCTCTGTTGAAGCGCTCGACCACTCTTTACTGCAGCAGGGCTTCGCCAACTTCTCCAAAAATCCAGCTCTACAAAAATGAGGCCCAAAGGGGCTATTTATAGGCTATGGGGAGCACCTAGGGTGCCTAGACACCCTAGGGTGTCTCAAGAAATCCGAGACACCCCTGGGGTGTCTCGGAACTTCTGAGACTCCGTTGGTGCATTCGATTTGTTTTCGCCGTAGATCCTTCGTCCGAACTCGGATTTGACTGATTCCAAGTGCGTTGGATGCTTGACGAAGAGTTCGATCCGCTCTGGTAGTTGGATTGTCTGTAGAGTGATCGAGGCATGAAGGGCGTTGTCCTTTTTGTGAACACCGCCGAGTTCCCGATTGGTCCGGGTCTTCGTTGTTCCGAAATCCTATCCGCTCACGTAGCTCGTCGATTCACTTCAGTCGTTCGTCGACGTCAATTGGACTCCTGTGGATCGGATAATGACGTTCATCGTCGCTCTTTAACACTGAACCGTTCGTGGAGACCTATAGGCAATTTTCGATGTCTACAGGAGACAGATTTAAAATACAATGCTTAAAAAAAAAGAGAGCATGGGGCCATGCTTTGTACGGGGTACACAATAGTAATATATATAGTATCTGATGCAACAGTATTTTGCAAATAAATATCAAATCGACGTGGTACAAAATAATAATATATATACGTGCTTTGAACAGGGTACACAATAGTAATATATATAGTATCTGATGCAACAGTATTTTGCAAATAGATATCAAATCGGCATGTAACAACAGTTCAATTGACGAGCAATTAACTCAAATACTCGGGTTAAGGAAAACATATTAGTAGGTAATTTCTATTAACAAGCATGAATTGACTAACAACTATTGTGTTGTTTTGTAAATGGATTATGAGATAAAACATTGACAGCCAAACTCACAAACGTTTAGGTATAACCCTATGTTGTCATGAAATAAGGTTAGGGGACATGAAAAATTTGTAAATGCACTAGTAAAAAGTGGTCCAGCCCCAACGGGTGAAACTAACCATTGGAGCTGCTAGCACAAGCCCTAACGGTTACAACCGTTGGGGCAAATGTTTTTTCCCTAAGGGCCTGTTTGGATTTGTAGGGGGTGAAGGGAAGTTAAGGAAAACTGAGAGAAGGGAAGTGAAGGGAGTTTCCCTTCCCCTTGATTACACCCCAATTTGGGGGGTAACAAATTTTATACTATTAGGGGGTGAACCAGGAGGAACTAGGGTGAATTAACTTCACCTCCTAAGTGTTCCCAAACAAGATGAATGGAGGTGAATGGTTCCCCTAACTTTCCTTCACCCTCATTCCCCTCAATCCAAACAAGCCCTAAATGAGAAATAGAGGGAAATTTCCCTCCATTTATTTTTGCGAAAATTAAAAAACCAAAACAAACACCCCAAAACCGGCCCCGTTCTCTCTCTCTCTCACACACGAAAAAAACCCAAACCCCCGTTGCGCCTTCGATCCCCCCGCCACCAACTCTAAACTCGCCGCCCCTGGAGGTCGCTGGCGGAGGTCGTCGCCGTCCCTGGAGTTCGCCCCGTTCTCTCTTTCTCTCACACATCAAAAAACCCCCGTCGAAGGTCGTCGCCGCCCCTAGAGGTTGCCGTCGCCGTCGATCCCTTCATTTTCCCCGCGCCGTCGACCCTGCAGTTTTCCGCGCCGTCGACCCCGCGACCCCGCACCTCTTCTGCTCAAATCTGACCTCGTCGCCGCCGTGGACTTCCTCTGTTAGTCTTGAGTGTTTGAAGACCAAACCTGAAGAAGAAATCAACATGCCAGAAAAATCCCAGTTCGGTCGACCTCTCCAAATCGGACCTCGCCGTCGTGGACAGAGGTAAGATTCAATTCCCCAACTTGCTGAAATTAAAGTAACATCCATTTACTCTCATATTTTCCATGTTAATTACAAAATCCCAATAAATAGAAGCATGAAGAGACTTAGAAACCCTAATAGAGAAATTATTATTCTTGATTCAACTAATATAATTGGTCATTTGACTTCTAATTTTGTTCTCAGTTCCAATTTTACTGAATTGAAATGAGTTTCAGCTTCAATTTTGTTCTCAGTTCCTATGAGCTAGAATGTGATCATCTATTATTCTATTCATGCCCAGCTACTATGGAGGTTTGAAACTTCTTTCAACCATGTTTTCATTTTGTGCATTGCCTTGGTTCTTTTCAACTGCTGCTTGAATCTAATGGAGAAGTCATACTTGATTATAATGTTTGGAAATTATGGAAAGTATTGTTTCCTTCTCTCATTGGTGCCTGTGGTCGGAGAGTAAGAAATAATCTTATTATTAATTGAGAGCAATTTATACCGCGAAGGATAACATCATGGATTATTTCATCCTGTTCTAGATAAGTAGTTCGAGCAAGAAGCAAGAAGCAAGTATATGAGGTGTGGAATGTTGCTAGAGAATAGGGCAGTAGAAGCACTACTGCAAAGCAAGGAAAATGATGGAGAGAGAGAATTTTTTTGATGTTGATTAGTTTTTATTTTGTAAGACTATCTCCAGCAGGAGTCGAAATTTTAACATTCTCTCTCCTGCCACATCACTTTATTCCCCCTCCACATAATTCAACAATCTCTATTTTCTATCATCTCTACAGCAGAAGTTTTTTCAAAAGATTTTTACTTTATTTGGGACCCATTATAACCCCATCACTCCAACATATATACCCCACCTTATTTATTCATTTCTTTTTCTTATTTCATATATATTACTACTACTACTATTATTATTACTAATATAACTCATTTATTTATAATTATATATATTTTAATATTTGCATATTTGGATTTTGAGGGTTGGTATTTTGAGGCTGGTTAGGAAAGTTGTAGGAGAAATTAGGATAATTTTGTGAAGGATCCATTTGAAAAAGTTTGAAGAATATAGAAGCAAAAGCAAAGAGAAGGAGAATAAGGTGTTGAAAACTCAGATTTTTTTTGGTGTCCAAATTACACAAGACTAATCTCTATTTATAGAGGTGAAAAAATAAAAATTATTGCTATAAAAATTATAAATTAATTCCTAGTATTTATCTCCCAAAATATCATTTAAAAATTAGGAGTAAAACAAAAAAGGCCAACCAATCAAGCCTTGACACATGGCTCCAAGCATAGGCCGAGGACAATTCGCGGGACCCACTCGGTCAGAAAAACCGGAGATGAAAAATTCACCCATCCGACTTCGGTTTTCCAGTTCACCACTCAAAAAACCAACTGCTCCCCCCCCCCCCCCCCCAAAAAAAAAAAAAAAAAAAAACCACCTGCTGGAGATAGTCTAAGGGGAAAAACAATGATCTGTAATGTCTAATTGTACTTTATGTGTCAGAGCTTAGCTGATATACTCTTTTTTGGAAACTGCTTATCTAGTGGTTTTGGGTTTGATAGTGTTTAAGTAAACATTGTATCAACTATCTATAATCCAAATATCTGGTAACGACAATGGTCCTCTCCTTATTTGCGGGTATGAATTGGTTGATGTTTTGTCTACCTTTACTCCCCAGCCTGTCCAAGACCGACTACTTTTTATTCTGGCAATGAATTGAACGGGACATCTCACCCTATTTTTTCTTCTTGAAAAAACATATTTTGATAGGTGGAAGAGTATGATTCACCATGAAAAAGATATATTAAAGCATAGAACTATAACAATCAATTCTCTTTTATAATTTCAGATTTTTGTATAATGAAAAGGATTTTTAAGACTTCAATGTTCACATATGCAGCAGATGTGAAGCGCCATGCTTTTCTCATAAACAACAGTGCACATTATTACAAAAATGTGCAGGTACTCCACATAGTCAAAGTTAATTTCTCTTTCTTAACAAGTCAAATGAAAATACTACATACATGTTATCCTACGGAGAAACAATACACTTAAGCCTAAGTTTGAATGGTATTTAAAGAAGAGACAGCAACACTTATAGTCATATGAAATTTAGTTATGTGGCTTATGGAGGACATGCGTATGATGCATGGTCGGTTGCAACTTTCCGTTATATCATATTAAAAGAGCCGTTACCTGTTGTAGGGATGAGAAAATTTCAATTAAAGTATACATGTAAATCATTAGTGCAAGTCGACGACTAAGTGTAGCCTTAAAAAATGTGTACGCTGTGGGAATTTTTTTACATATTCTCACACTTGCAGTTCTTTTTTACAGGTCAAACTGATGCTAATTGCGCTTCTATCTGAATCTGAACTTAGAGTATCTGATGCCACAATTGAGCTAATCTTAGATAAGGTAGATAATGTTTTTGAATGCACTACTAGTAAACTTTTCTTGAATGGTATTTAAAGAAGAGACATCAACACTTATAGTCATATGATTAGAATGAGTTATATGACTTTAATCACTCCTCTGCAAATTATATCCTGTTCAATAACTGACCAACAAATATGTTCTTCTTAACCCATCAAAACAGTAAAAAAATAAAATATGAAGGGATTCCTTGTTGAAGTTGCGGTAAACTATTTAGCTAATTAAGTTAATGTTCCATTGATGGGTATATTAGGCATTTTGGTAAGTCTCACTACTCTAACCAAAGACGATAATGGCATTACGTGCTTCATAGGATAGGACAAGATGATAATAAGAAAGCCGAGAGTTGCAAATGATAGCTAGCCTCTGTTTGTTATCTGCGGTTTATATTATTTGAGATTTTATACTGTTTGTGGAAAATTTTGTAGTAAGAAAATGATGAAAGAATTACGTTTGATTTTATTCTCTCTAACTGCTTAGAAAAAGAACGTTTACAAATCTCTCAACTCTCGATTACAATTGGATTTCCTGATTACAAAAGAGAAGAGAATGATCTGGATTCTCCCATTTGTTTAATTCTGGGTTCTTCACGGTGGCGATGGAGTGCTTCCTTCGAATGCTTGCGTCGAACTTGCTCTCCGTTGATGATCCGAAAATCTCAATTCGCTGGAACAAATGACTTGTCTGGTTGATAACTCTTGACGAGTCTTGTGATTCAGAATGAGTAACAAACTCTAATAAGAAAAGAGTTGTTTGAACCAAAAATAATTCGGTTAATAAGCCAAGTATCGAATGTCTGGAACTCTTCAGTTTGTTGAAGATCGTTGCCTCTAGATTCTCTTCTCCAAATCCGATCCTTGGATCTCTATCTCCGAATCCCGAACTCTGTTGAGTTTGTTGATATTTATAGGGAGATTAGGGGTGTAACTGCCCCCCATAATCTGCGTACAAATGAGGGTTTAGTCGCCTCATTAATCGGTTGTAACAACCCACGTAAACCACTCCTCAGATCGTGGGTGAGAAACGGTTTTCGAAACTGCATGGATCATGTTTGAATGAGTCAGAACCTTGACTTGCGTTCTGGCATAGATTCTGTGCTTGTTTTGCAGTGTTTGGAGCTGCGTTCTGCCTTTATCTTTACATATGGATGACACCAATGACCATTCGAGAAGGTCCTATTCAGGCCATTTGTGACAATTGAGGCATCTCAATAACGCTCTATCAACTGCAGGTCACGATCTCCACTAAGGTCTCTTTGCATGGCTTTAACCATTTGATTCTCAGTATGTCGAATATTTGCCCACAGCTCTCTAGATCTTTTCGCTTTTCTAAAATTATTACACTGCTCATCAGCGCCTCTAATAGTTGCTAATATAGTATTAGTCATGTTGTTGTCGCAGCCATCAAGATCAATCGTCTCGAATATGAGGATGTGTTGATAGCTGATGATGCAATGGTTGCGTTGCTTTGACTTTTGGAACGTAGCCACTTGTGTTTTGACTGTAGGGATGAATTCTACCTCTCGACTTATAATTTCTTCATGATCCATAGGGGCATCCTTCGATTGCAGCTTTCTGTTGGTAACAAGAAAGTCGTCTGATTGTAACTTTCATTGTTAGAGCTTGATGGGGATCAGCTATCCATTGTGATTTTTAGACAGCCTACAGAACCCCCTCCAAAGTTTTCGAAAGTTCGTGGTTGACTGGGATGAATTTTCGGAATACTTTGGATCCCAAATTTTGTTGATTGAATGCACCTCATCGCAGACTGAGTGGAGCATCTCAGGGTCTTAGACAAATTCGTTGACATCCTCTTTCTTGTTTAGTTCGTCAATAATGACTTGGACTTTAGTCTGTTTGACCAAGTTCGTCATCTTCAGGGAGGTTGAGCACTTCCTGGCTTAAGAGCAATCTATTGTCATAGACAGAGAGAACCACATGCCTGTATGAAAAGGACTTCATCCCCAGCTTAGTCAGGAAGACAGCCTCGGAGGAACCCACCATATCATCATCACTTGGAATATTAACCTCTTTGAAAGGGTTAGTTGTGTGATCGACTGAGGTCGTCGCTTAAACGTCTGGTTAAATCATGCGTTCAACCGAGTGCAGTGATGCGTTTGGAAGCTAAGGCCCCTTATTTAAAAATGCAAAAATCGCGTTTCGGGTGGGATTTTCACCTAAAATCCCGCGCTGATTTGACGACTACAGCTGTATATAAATAGACCGCTGAGGTCAAATCAAAAAGTCGCTTGACTTTTCTCTTCCTTGCCTTCCTATCAACCGCTTAACAGGATTCCTGTTCATCTTCTCCAGCGCTTCAACGAAGGAGAAATTCATCCCTAAATCTTTCGTTAATCCATTCTACCTCTTCTTCGTCACTATTAGAATGGCTCCTAAGAAGCGAATGGCCTCCAAATCCAAGATCGCCCAAACTCAGGGTGCTCCTTCGGTTAAAACCCCCAGAGATGTCCACGCTGTGGCTCCGTCGTCTCCGACTTCCTCAATTAACGGTAAGTCTGGACGATTGAAGGTTATCTTAACAGATTCCTTCCCTTCGATCTTCTGATTAGGGGTTTGCCTTCCCCTATTAGAACATATAGATCGTACTTAGTGTTTCTCGGTCTTAAAACGAATGGTTAGCTCCATCGTTTATGATATCTCAACGCAGGTTCAGACCTTGCGTTTCAAATTTTGAATACAGGTTGAGACCCTGTGTTTGAAACCTCAGATGCGGGTCGAGATCCTGCGTTTTAAACCTCAAATGCGGGTCAAGACCTTGCGTTTTGGGACCTGGACGCGGGTCTGGGCCTTGCGTTTAAAATCCTGTATTGGACGTAGATCCAGAATTTTCCTTCTTGAGTTAGACTCCTGAGTTTAATTGACTGACTTTTCTATTTACAGTGTGCTACTCCAATGAGCCTCTTTCTTTCAACCATTACTTCGGTCATGCGGGAGGTGCGGAGAAAAACACGGTCTTCAGCTTTGCCTTCGAATATCCGGTGTTCCAGGACACCAACAAAGAGCGGGCGAAGCTCATCACTCAAGCCTTCCCCGAGACTCTTAGATCCTTAGCCACAAATGCTAAATTTGAGACCACCGAACGTGAGATTTTAAAGAAACCATCATTCCTCTTCGGGGATTCTGTTAAGATGGACCCCAAGCGGATGTCGGAGGGGAACTACAAATGGCCGAGGGCTGTCAACCATCGTCGTCTTTTCCTTCCCAACCTAGAGCGAATGTGGCTGATTTCTTATTATCAGTGCGCTTCCATCCCACGGTCAATGAATTGGGAACTTGTCCAGGATCAAGGAGGTGTTGCTACTGGGCATATTACTCCTCGGGGCACACACCCAGCTGGTTTTAATCAATTTGTAGCCTTGAAGCCAGGCTTATTCAAGAAGGAACATCCCGTCGGTGAACCCGCTAAGCTGGCGAAGGTCTTCATTAGAAAGTTTATCTTTGTCAAAGGAGAGTTCCCTGCTCAAGACTTTAGGGCTCCAACGTGGGTTCATTCGAGTGAGACAGACTGGTGGCCCCGAATGATAAATTTTGTCTTGGAGGAGCTGGAAGAACCTTTGAGGATTTCAGAACCGAGGACTCCAATAACGGCTACTCGATATGGGATTTCTCCAAATTACAACGGACTTTTTGCTATGCTAGAATTTTATAATCCTCACACCGGTACATTTTTCACTCTTGCTGGTGAATTAGGTTTCGCTCTTCATGAGATGTTTGAAATTTCTGGCTTGTCTTTTGGAGAGCTGCCTTACGAGGAGTTCGTCCCCGAAAATAGGGAATTGGAGATCCTGAAGCATGGTGCCCCCGACATCTATGACACTTATTGGGAATTGATGTGCCATTTCCAGATCTGTGCACAAATCACTGGAAAAAGGGCCAGTGGTGTGAAACAAGGACAATGGGCAGAATATCTTTTTCGAAATCTGTGGGACAAGGAAGCTGAAGTGACTCGTTTAGCCGCCGGTACTCTTGAAGAAATCAACGAGCGTATCAACGATGCGACCTCCCACTACACTTGTGAGGTAGAGGAGGATGTCTTCCCCGCTTTTACCACCTTCGAAAGCTTCCATTATCAGGCAGAAGTTCCAATCTTCGACATGGCCCTGTTCGCGGGTTTTCTTACTCTTTGGTTGAAGCGTTGCGTGGTACCCACCAGGCCAGTGGACGCTATTACGGTAGAGGTGTTATACCCTGCTGTACTTCTAGCTCATGGACGACCCTTAAATCTTCTTTCGGCCATGGTGTGCTGCTTGCAGAGTGGTTTATGAGAACTCGCTTCTGAATTTGTCGCCGTCAAGAAGTTGGACTCAGATGGGAAGACTATCATTCAAACTCCGACCCCTCGAGTGCCAATGCCATATATTTATTTGGTATCTTGGTTTGTGTTGCACTGCCCTTCGATAATGTCGACTCCTGAGTCGAGTGACACCTCGGCTCCTCTTGTTCAGCAATTAGAAACCGCTCAATGGGTCGGTTGGTATCAAGTTAAATTCCGTGAAATATTCAGGCGTGACCATAATTACGAGATCGCTTGCAAGTTTCCCGTTTTCGAGGGCGGTGCGTATGGAGAGATCCATCAAGACACTCTGGGACAAAATTCTTTTACCATACTCAGTAGAGGTGCCTTTTGGTGGCTCATAAATATTTGCCCAGGCTATCTTATTTTTCAGCAAGGGAGGAAGTGCTTTATTGAACCATATCAGCCTTATCGCTTTTCTCGGCAATTTGGCTATGATCAGATTTACGTCGGGAATCCAAACCCTACTCTTGCGTACACAGGTAATGTGTATGAAGGAACAAAAGCTTGGTATTACTCGGTAGCAGGATGTACGGGAGCGAAATTCCGACTGCCGCACAAGATGCCCAACGTTCGTACTTCTTTAAGCTTTTGCACGTGGTACCAAGCTGCCTCTCAAATTTCAGCTTACAACATGAATACCTCTTGCTTGAGAGCCATCCACAAATGGTATGCTTCGAAGAGAAGTGCTAAAAGGTCCCGTGTCCGGGGTGCTAACGAATATTTATCATATGAAAAGGCGATTACAGAGGACGAACGACGACAATCACCAGAGGGAGTTCAGGAAGAGGTCAGGATGCTGGACACCCACGAAGTGGAACCTTCAAGAGTCCAGACTCAGAGTAAGAGTGCCACTGGAAAAAGAGCACTAGACCCGACTGAAGAAGCCAAGTATGGCAAACGAGCTCGTCGAAAGTTAGCGCTCGAGCCCCCTGCTTCTAAACTTATGTCAGATGCTCAAAAAGCATGGCATGCTGAAGAGGAAGAACAAGAATCAACTGCTATGGGACTCTTGCCTCAGCCTGGTCTCCCCAGCGTTGGTCCCGCTTTAGGAGGCAGGGCCTCTTCTGCACATTCATTGAATGAAGAAGAACATGGAGATGAATCATTTGCAGGGGGTATGGAGTTTGCCCCTGAAGACACACTTCGTGATACTGCTTCTGCCCCTCGCGTTGAAGACGATAGGCCTCCGGTCCAAGAATCTACGACGGCTGCCCAACAAGACTTGGTAACAGACAAGTCTCCTTCCGCTTCCGTGCTATTACCACCTGTAGGAGACACACAACCCAGCCCTACTACTGGAGTCATATCGAAACCTACCATCACTGGGGACTCGCCATCATTTCCCCTTATAGACGAAGAGGAGCCTACGGATCATAGCGATGGTGCAAATGACATAGATGATGATGGTGATCAAAGTGGGAGTGATGAGAACAACGACAACTTGGGTGATGACAGCGATGATGCCGGTGAGTGGGATATTCGACCACCATCTTCTTCAGACAAAGCGTCAGCCTACATTCCTCCGCTTCTCACTGGTAAGCGTCATTCATTATTATTTACGACTAATCTTTATTATTCTGTTAAACAATCTTTTCGTGTAGATCCTATGATACACGAGGCAAGCGCTGTTATCCCTGCTTCAACGCAACAACTTATGCTACCCTTAGCTCAGGTGTCAGAACCACCTTGCTTGGAACTCTCAACGATAACTCTCCCACCGACGACCTTATTGACAATTTCTTTAGCCTCTATAGAAGTCGTAGACGTGCCCAGATCATCTGGAGCGGGGGAACTTATGATTCTTCAATCGAGTCCATCTCAGCTGGATGTCGACGTTCCCTCCCAAGCTACTACGCCGAAATCGCCTGCTGGTCTTTTACTTGGCTCTGTATCTTCAGAAGTTTCCGTACCGTCTCCCATCGCTGCTTCGAGTCCCACGGATGTGCCAGATTTCCTTAAAATCTCTCTTAGTTATCTAGAGAGTCTGACAAAGAAAGTGATTGAGATAGTTGTAGGCATCGAAAATTGCCTATAGGTCTCCACGAACGGTTCAGTGTTAAAGAGCGACAATGAACATCACTATCTGATCTACAGGAGTTCAATTGACGTCGATGAACGATTGAAGTGAATCGACGAACTACGTGAGCTGATAGG